CCACACGGACACCCGAAGGGATTAAAGCTCAACTTTCGGCAGATTTGAAACCCTCCCAGCTAGGGATCACTTTAGTGCAGATTCGGCCGACAAGGTCCAGAGAGCTTCTCATCCGGTGTCGAGAAAAAAGCTCACCTGCTACGCCTGAAACAGGCAATCGAGGACAGGCCAGCACTACTAGAGACACTTGAATTTCGGGAGCCCAAGCCAAGAAGGGAAAGTGTAATTATTTTTGGAGTACCTGAGAATCTAGGAAAAGAAGATCTAACAGCAGCACTTGTAGACCAACTGCCCAATTTCAATCCCAGTGCTTTTCAAATACGAGCAAGCCGTTCCGGGCAAAGCGGAAGGAAAAACTGGGTGATAGACATAGACCCTAAGTCAGCAGAACACCTAGTTAAGCTAGGCCGTCTTTTAGTGGGTTTTGAGTCTTGTCCTCTCCGTCCGTACATTAGGATCATACGCTGTTACAACTGCCAGGAGTTCGGTCACTATAGCAGGAACTGTAAAAAACGCTCCAGTTTGCGCGAAGTGTGGTAACAGCCACCCGACGCAGGAGTGTAGCTCGGAAAAAGTGAGTTGCACTAATTGCTGCAGTAGTAATTCTGAAAAGGGGACCTCTTTCAGCACAGATCACCCAGCTACTTCAAGTTCCTGCCCAGTGTATGGAGCCCATTTCGAGAGTCTGAGAAGGACCACTGCAAAGAACTAAACCAAGATGACACTAAACAAACATATAGCAGGTCTTCGATTTTTACAGTGTAACTTGCAGAAGTGCTATGCAGCAACCATAAATACGCTGCAAGTAATGACACATACTGCTGCCAATGTCGGAATCTTCCAAGAGCCATACGTTTACAACGGAGTGATTCCTAGTGTTCCAACACACAGCAGAACGTTTCTCTCAAAGAATCAGCTAGCTGCGATTATTTACAGTGGCCCTCTCTCCCCTCTCCTAATGAAAATCACAGAGCATACAGTCTCCATCAGACTAGACACTAGTAATTGCAGCATTGATATTATTGCTGTGTATCTACCCCCGAGCGAAGATATTACCTCTCTATTAGAGGAACTTAATTCTAACCTTCTAACTGGGGCATCACACTGTATCATAGCAGGAGACTTTAACGCCACCAGTCAACTATGGGGTGCTGACTCGGAGAACCGAAGGGGAATTGCGGTACTCGAATTCTTGGACAGTAAGCATTTCATTGTCATCAACGCTCAGGACTCACCGCCTACCTTTGAAACATCTAGAGCTCGAGGGTGGCCAGATCTAACAATATCAACTCCCAATACAACTCCGTACATACAAGATTGGACAGTGAGTGACCTGCCGTCACTCAGTGATCACAAAATTATTACTTACAGGCTGGATACTCCTATAGACTACATAATAAAGAAAAGATTCAAAACGGCATTTGGAGGACATTCCGTTTTACGGGAACACATTCGAGCGCATGTAGAGAAATTTATCAAAGATTTCAACAACTGCCAGGACAGAAACTCCTTAGATAATCTCTACGACTTACTAGTTACAAAAATAGTGCAAGCCGCCCACAAAGCATATCGTTTGAAATCTGTAAAGGCAAAACACTCGATATCCTGGTGGTCACCAGAGCTTAACACAGAGAGGAGCAGAGTTCGAGCACTTCGCAGAAAAGCACAATCCACGGTAGATCCATATCTACGGCAACTCAAAATGATAACATACAATAAAGCCAGAGCTTTATATAAAAGAAAAATTAAAGAGGCCAAGTTAATCTCATGGAGAACTTACTGTAGTAATGTCACTAAAGCCTTTGGACCTACTCAAAAGATAACATGTAACAAGGTGTTTCGTCCTACGACCCTTTCGCCTATGGTGAATAGCACTGCCTCATCCAACATCGAAGTAATCAGTGAGATCATAAATGCAGTTTTTCCTGATGATGATGAAGAGGATTTCTTAGAGGAGCAAGAGGAAGCGAGAAAAACCTACAGTATGAAATTTCGCCAAGTTACCAGAAGAGACGAACTCCCTCCTACGCAAATGGAAGTGGATAACATCATACGTACTCTGGCACCCAAAAAAGCTCCAGGTCCGGATGGAATTGATAATATCATCATTAGAGAGATACACCGGGAATTCCCAAAACTATTCCTTGCGGTCATTTCAGCTTGCTGGAAACATCAGTACTTTCCTAAAAATATGAAGTTGGCAGAAGTGGCGTTATTCCTAAAATCAGGCAAAACTCCGGCAGAACCTACATCTTACAGGCCAGTCTGTCTACTGCCAGCGCTCGGTAAGGTATTGGAAAGAGTAATTCTTTACAGATTGGACTTCTTCCTGCAAAGGAACAACGCCCTGCATCCCAACCAATATGGATTCCGAATGGGCAACTCAACTGAACATGCCATAAAAGACTTAATGGCCACTATCAAACAGAACAAGGATAACAATTTGCACTCACTGGCAATAGCCATTGACATCAAGGGAGCCTTTGACTCCCTTTGGTGGCCAGACGTAATAAATTTGCTGCACAACATGGCGTGCCCAACAGCCATTATTACCATCCTTCGCTCGTACCTTCAAGATCGAAGTGTACAAGTAACATCAGACAGCGGCATTTATGTCAAAAATGTCTTTAGAGGATGCCCACAGGGGTCATGCCTTGGACCAACACTGTGGAATATAGTGGCAAACTCGGCATTTCGTCAGTTTGAGAGCGTAGAATACGCTCGAATCATAGCCTATGCGGACGATTTTATGCTAGTTGTGGCAGGAAGGAGTAACCTCGAAATGAGATCTCAATACTGTCTTGATCTGTTCTCCCAATGGGCCAGAGCACATAAGCTTCAGATTTCGGCAGAGAAAACTAAAGCTTTGCTCATAGGACGCAGCAGGCAGCTAAGACGCAACCCAAGCATTAAACTCCATGGGATACCGGTAAAAATGTTTCCCCCAATTGAAATATCTTGGGCTATTACTCGACAACAGACTTTCTTGGATGCCACATGTCAGGAATCTTAAGACTCGAATTAGCATCCTAAGCAACAACATGAGACGCATGACTTCACATAAATGGGGTATCTCATCTAAGCTACTAAAAATTTGGCATAGAACCATTACAGAAAGAGTAATAACTTATGGAGCAGCAATCTGGGGTGGCGAACTTACCTCTCATATGAAAAGATCCCTGCTCTCTATTCAGAGACAGCAGCTACTTCAAGTATGCAGGGCCTACCGTACCACGTCAACACACTAGCCCTACAACAACTAGCAGGAATTCCTCCCCTAGATTTGATAGTAGAAAGGGAGGCAGCTATCGTAAGGGTTACCAGGCTGGGTCAAACTTCAACACTCTGGGGTCATAGTTATCACCACTCGGACTACGAGGAGCAAAACAACTGCAATAACTTTCATCCAGCAGCTTTTAATCTCTCTGACGGTATCAGTATAAACGACCAACCAATTCAGAGGTACAGTAATAACCTTTTCACAGATGGCTCCAAAACTGAGAACGGCACGGGCAGCGCCTTCTGTAGACTAGAAAATGGAGTTGTAACATTCGAGTGGAAAAGGAAATTAGGCTTGAACAACTCGGTATACCAAGCAGAGCTTCTAGCTATCAGTGCTGCAATTAGATATGCGAACACATGTCAACAGGAGAAATTCTCCATACTCAGTGATTCGGCATCAAGTCTGGCGGCTATCGCAAGTCAAAACAGCCGAGTCCATTGGTATACAGAATTCAGAAAAACAGCTTCTGACAATGCCTATTTCGCAAAGACCCACTTTAAAATGGGTTCCCGCTCACACAGGGATTCAAGGCAATGAAGCCGCTGACCTACTGGCCAAGCAGGCAGCCAACTGCACGGATATATTAGAAAGACCAACTAAAACTTCCTTGGTCTCATATTAAGCGAACAACTTTGACAAGTCTGCTACAAAATTGGCAAAGTAGATGGACAGAGGCAGAGGTAGGACGAAGGACATTTCGCTTACTGCCAAAAGTTAACATGGAAATAAAGACCCACTGTGCTAGCCTAACACAGTTCTTGACAGGTCATGGACCATTCCCAGTATACCTGAACAGATTCAGACTTAGGGATACTCCTTTCTGCGAATGCGGAGAGGAAGGCGACACGGACCATTATTACTTCCATTGTGTACATACAAGAACCTGGCACTTGAAGAAACCAGCGGACTGTGCCTGGGCAATGTGGACGACTAACACACTCAAAAACAGAATAGCCCTTGATAAAATAGAGAAAATCTCAGAACACTGCCTAAGCAGAAACAACCGTGGATAATATTATAATGTTTCAAAAGTTCAGAACTTAAAGCAGATAACCAGAATAACGCTTAGTGCCTTGCAGTTAACAATATGTAAAAACTGTTATTAGTTTATAATATTCAACCTTGTTACTCTGGAGTCTTCCCCGCCGTGATGGTATATAATTCCGTTTGGTTCATGTCCGTGGTCGGAAGCCATCATAGCGGTGCACTCACTCACTCACTCACCTTATATCCTTTTACAGCATCTTTTCCCACTGGGATTTCCGTTTTTTTAAGGTTACTTTTGTACTAGAATATTGAAATACACTTGGCCCATTCAAAGTGCCTGGGCAATGAAAAAAATCTTAACTTTTTTCAAATTTTCAAATTCGTTCTTTGTAAATTGGTCAAATATAGCTGTTAAATGTAAATCGATGGGAATGCTTTCTGCTTATGCTATTCTGTTACTATTTTCAAGCAAATATTGCAAGTTCGATACACGTAATAGTTTGATATAACACGTAATAGTTTGAGGCATGATTGTAATTGAAATTCCTAAAATCAATCATTTCTATTTTTACAGAAAATTTTGCATTAATTTTTATTTTATTTGCAAGCAAAATAAGCTTAATCGGCGATTGAAATTATTCCATAGTGTAATAAGCAATACTCTGATTTTTTGGGGGGGGAATTGGGTCATCAAGGTAAAGATACTAAGAGCAAAATCTTTGATACAAACCTTTAATGTATTTTTCCGCCCTGTCTATACCGTCTTCCAAAACCGATTTTAAGCTGCAAAGCCGAGGTGCTGTCAGCTTCAGAAATTTTGAAGATCTGTAGGAACGCTGCTGAATGAAATTTGGATGATCTTGAACAACTGAAAATTCAGGGCACGGCATACCTTAAAAAAAGTCAAAAGTTTAACATATGGTACATTTCCTAAATTGCTCTTTTTCTAAATGTATAGTTGTATAATAGTTCTTTCTTTATATGTAAGTTACATAAAAAATTAGTCAACTTATTTAAGGCAATAGGCTTTAGAAATATACAGAGCACGATTAATTATTAATTATTTTATTTTAATTATGGAATAGTATAACAAATCAGAAAACTCTTTGAAAGTTCCTCCATTGCTAAACTATATTTAAAAAGAACTGCTGTTCTTTTAAATGATTTTTGAATCATTGTAAATGAGTAAGATAATTTATTATAACAAAGAATGAAAGAATTTTATTATTAGATGTCCCTAATATCAGCCTACATGTCTTAGAAGTGTAATTTTTGTGGGCAAAAGAAACAGGATTGCATTTTCATCAAACAAAGAGAACACTCTTCTTTACATTTTTGAAAACGATATCGGTAAACAAGACATTTATTGCTGATTTTCACATATCCGAGCATAATACCATTCATGCATGGTGTCCTGAAAAATCATGGTTTGATTAGGTAGTGTACAGATCACTGTCAGGAGGTTTTGAGCAACAGTAGGGTCAGAACAAATTTTTGCCCAATGGCGCCCTAATTTTGAAAATAACGTCTGCGCGCCCATCTAACAGAGAAGAGTTCATTATTTTTCATGCCCAGCGATGAATTTGGTTTGCATTTCAGACGGGTTGTAAAAGGTAACTAATGTACTTCTAGATAAAAAATTTAGGGGCTCTTTAAAGTTGACTACAAATATTTTAGGAAAATTTCGAAGATTTCATCTACTGATTGTTCATGGTTACAAATTAATTATGAGCTTTTAGTTATGAGCCTGTTTTGCTACCTATGGTCTGCTACTCATTGATATCGAAAATCTTAAGTAATACTGATATGAAAGAAACCGTCTCCAAGGTCCTTCCAGTTTCCTGGATGACAATCTTTCTATTTCCTGTCTGCTGCATCCTGGAAATGAAAACCTTATACGAAACTGTTTATTCTGACGATATTCTTGAGAAGTATCAGACAATTTTCTTTCGTTGAAGGAAGCAAAATTAATAAGAAAACCTTTCTTTTGCTGTGTACGAAGCCAACTAGCGGTCGAGTGGTAAAGCCATTAAATACAGACAGTCAACCCAGGTTCAAATCCCGGCAAATGAGCGCATAGGAACTTTCATTGTTTTTTCCTTTGTAACGTGAATAAGAGCCTATTGCCATCAAAAGGTCCTCCACAAAGACATTTTTTTCCTTAGGCAAAAACTGCTCGAGTGTGTTGTCATGATCTACATCAGGGATGGGCCATCTACGGTCCGCGGGCCAACTCCGGACCGAATTTTCCGATCCGAGGCAAATTAAAAGAAATATATATTTATATATTATATATCCATCTCCTTTTCTACTTCATTTAAATATTATTTATTTTCTTTTTTTTTCCAAAGACCTGATGATCTTTTTACTTTATTTTTGTTATACAAAACATAAATAGACGGAAATAGCAAGCACAGGCAGCTTTCAATCGGTAAAGTGTTAAAAGCGGAAGTTCTTTGATAGTTATAGCTATAGATTGGCGCCAACAAGCGTTAACTCTTTCTTGGGGAGCAGACATATGAGAATCCAATATAGGTAAATTAGACCTCATATGTGGCAGACTGCGCATTTTTTAAGTTCCAGCCAGAGGCGTTTTCTTTTGGCGCGAGTTCTAATATTATTGACTGTGTATAGAAAGATTGCGGACGTATAGCATCGTTGTGAATAGTGATGAAATTATTAAAAGTATAGTGTAGCTAGTGTTTGTTTGAGTTATTCGTAAAATATTTCAACCCCAAAATGGCTACTAAGAAACGTAAAGTTAATTCAGAGTGCCGTGCTTTTAATGACGAATGGACTTGGAAATAATTTTTACAGTTGTAAAAATAAACCAGTGTGTCTCATCTGCAATGAAGCTGTAGCAGTCTTCAAAGAATAAAACATTTCACATCTAAGCATAAGAATTCCAATTATGAAGCAATGTCTGAATATGAAAGGAAACAAAATACTGAAAGTTTTTGTAAAAAATTATCAGGCCAACAAAATTTTTTCTAGAAGGTAAACAGTATCCAAGAAGCAGCTACATATGCAAGCTACATTGTAGCATACAATATTGCTAAAAATAATAAAGCTTGCAGTGATGGAGAATTCATTAAACAATGCATGCTCCAAGTTTGTAATGTTTTATGTTCAGACAAGAAAAGCAATGTTGAGACTGTAAGCTTATCTCGAGAAACGGTAACATCTAGAATCGAGGACATCGATAAAAATTTGACGTTAAAGTTAGAATCAAAGATTGGCCTGTATAAATTTTGCTCCATAGCTATGAATGAAAGCACTGACATAAATGATACTTAATATGCCAAGATGCAAGGGAAAAATCAATTTATCGACGATACCTGGGCCCATCTCAAAGCTTTTAAACTAAAACTTAATCTGCTTGCTTGGCAGCTAGCTAGCTAAGAACGACTTGTCTCATTTCCCAAGGTTAAATTCAATACCCCCCAGTAAATGAAGAGAAGTTAAGAATTATGACGATGGCTTGAAAAAAAACTGCATTTTGAGTTCGAACGCAGATTTCAAGATTTCAGTGCCATTCAAACAGAACTGGATATATTTACCATGCCTTTCAACGTAAATTGTGAAGCAGTGAGGTCAGATTTGCAGCTTGAATTAATTGAGTTGCAATCTAACAATCATCTCACGCAGTTGTTTCTAAATATGCCAAAGTTAGAACTTTACAAATCATTACCGAAAGTAAGTTTCCCAAAAAAATCAGTGCTATGTTTGCTTCATCTTATATATGTGAAGAAGTGTTTTCAACTATGAACCTTAGAAAGAATTATTTCAGAAGTATACTTAAAATGGCTGATGGTATACTTAAAATGGCTGATGAGCATTTAGCATCTTTCGTTAGAATCAGTATATCTCATTTCGAACCTCAATAAAAAACACTTTTAAAAACAAAATCGCAATTTCATCTCATTAACATATTTAAATTGTCATACTTATAATGTTTTTAAAATTTTAGAAAAATTTATCTTGGCCCGCCAAACAATTTTTCCTGATTTTTGGCCCGCGACCGAAATGGTTTGCCCATACCTGATCTACATAATCTTCATCTTTGCTGTGTAGGAAAGAGAATGAATGAGAATTTAAACAATAAGGATTTTTAAGTAATGTTCTGTCTTTCATCCTGGGTTCCTGTACTTAAAACTCTGTTAAGACTAGGCTTGTAAAATTTAGTATCGGCTTGAAGCTCATTCATAGGTAACGTCTTTCTTCACCATGGTTTACAACAGAACTTTAATATCTTAGAAAAGCAAAAGTTAATTATTAAATTTAAACACCTACGCAAGATATTATTATTATTGGGGTTAATTATCATAGATTCTTGAACACTGCGGGAATCTTATAAATGAGGAGACGGAAGTTCTGGCGTAGTTAACAGGTATTCTTGTTATTCGATTAAATATGCTTTTGTTGCTTCTTACTATAGCATTTAATAGGGAAAATGTTGTTTTTCATTGAAATAACGAATACCTGACATCAATAAAGGCACGATGAAAATCAGATTTACAATAAATTTTAAAACTAATTCAAGTTTGGGCTTGAGTAAATTAAAGGTAATTTTGAAAGTAACTTAAAGTGTTTTAAGTAATTTGTTTAAGTATTTTATGCCTTATTGAAAGTAAATTAGACTAGCTTCAAATAGTAGCAATTATAAATTGCTTTAATTAAGTTTCTCTAAACAATCTGTAATAGAGTGAAAACAGTGCTTGTCATATTCTTTTCAACCGTATTTGTCATCTTCAGCAGAGAAGATCTTTTAATCCATAAGCGTCTGTCTGCATCTTCATCACACATTTATTCTGACCTTTTAAAACTATTGTAAAATATTTGTTTGTAATTTAAATTATTTTGTCCTATTTTAGTTCTGTTAATAGGGAATTATATTTTTGTTTGCTATCTTAGCGCCGTAAACATTATCTCTGTCTCCTGATACACTACGCACAAGAACTAGAAAGTACAAATTACAGTTTAAAAAAACTGCTTTCTTGTACAAAAACGATAAAAATCATACGGTATTAACATACAGAGAAGAAATGCTTATATGCGCACACTTAAGATTTTTTTAAAGGCTAAGGATTCCAGTCGACTGTAGCTATTTTCACAGAACAATTGCATAGCAAATAAGCTTTACATATTTTATTTTCAAAAGGAAACTGTTGTCCTGAATGTGTTTCTAAATGCTCAAAAATTCTCATTCCGAATAGTATACATTGACAAGAAGATTTCTCTAAAATTTCTAAGGAGATGAAATAGAATTTTAATAATAAAATACTCAATGATAGCTATAATAAATAAAAAAACAAGAAATGAAAATTTACATAAATAATTATGCCTGCTGCATTATAAGAAAACGTTTTCCTTGTAGTATACTTTCAATAAAATAATAAAATTAGTTATAAAATACAATTAAATTTTAAGCGTTATTAAAATTAAGCAAAACGTTATGAGTACACTTTGCTTTTTCTGCGTGCAGGTTTTAATCATCTTATACTGGTTAACAGAGATTACATTATGTTTGTTAGCAATGATATCCTTGCAAACATTTAATTAGAAATGTGCCTTATCAGTAAATGCATGTGTCATCATAAGAGTATGAAAAAAAGACATTAAAAAAAGGCTTCGCGAAGCAAAAAGTATCCTTAACGTTTTCTGCTTTTGAATACTTATCGGACCATCCTTGGAGCTTTCTTTATCTACGTTATTTAGGGCATTAATCATTTCATATAATTCTCTTTTCCGGGTAACCGATGGGAGCTATTTTTGGCAATTACAGGAAGGAATAAATACGGAATATTATAAAGGAAATGTAGATATTACAATGCATTTACACGTCTATATTATTTAACATAAGGAATGGTATTTTTAGCTTTTCTTGGAGGGCTTATGAGCAGCCATGACGAACCACCAGTTTGATAAGAAGTAACTCCACCAATGGTCAAGGTGTTAACGACGACTGAATACTGTTGGTTCGTCCTGGGTTGGGGTATTGGCAAACGGGCTGGCTGCATGGTTGATTTTCATGTAACTTTTAAGGTATGTACAGTAAATACAAGTCAGTTTCCCTTAGAACACCCTCCTCGAAGGCATCTTTCTCCTTAGGCAGATAGCCCTCATGTGCTTTGCCATATTCAAATAACTTACAGTAACCTTAATAAAAAATGTGTAAAAATGATCTCCTCAACAGATTTCATAATTTGGAGCTCTTTTTTTAATATAATATGTAAATAATATTCTTCGTTATAAAATATTTTTATACCTTTAAAGAATGAAATAAAAGTTAATTTGAAAAAGGTAGGTTTCAGACTATTAACCAGAGAAAAATAATTCCAATGATCAATTCAGTGTTACTTTTCATCAGCTCGTGTTTCTGCTAAACGAAGTTCTGCTAAGCAACGGTTTACTATTCATAAGAAATAAAAATTATTGAAATACTGCATGACGGAACTGAATAACATTTATAAAAATGTGCTTAACTTTAACATTCGTTCTTATGTAAAATAATATCAGACCTTCACAGAGTACTTGACTTATAACTTGGAATTCTTGATTTGGCGATAAGTAAAATGTTCTTGGACGCATGCTTGAATATTTAAGCCTAAAGAAATAAAAGAATACAGTTACAAAAATGTCAAAATTTTACATCTCTTTTTGAACTGCATTGTACTATATAATATGTATGACCAAATATTAATCAGCATAGAAATGATTATAATTTCTTAGATTGCATTGAATACATACACATATTTGTTCTTCAATCATTAAATAACAACTTCACTGGAAACAGAATTTCCAGCTATTGATAACTATTGTCCATTATTTATTGTGTCACGATATAAATATTCTCTGTAGGTAGGCGCTGAATATGTACAATAAACTTAATTTCTGAGATTTTTCTAGAAATTATTAAGTAACACATAGATGTGTTTATTAAGTGAATATGAGTAGTAAGAAATATAGTTGGGAAATTATTTCTGTGTGTGCGAGAGGCACAGTTTGGAAACTTATATAAATTACATATAATACGTGAAAAGCAACGGAAGTAATAAATATTTAAACGATCATAAATACATTGCTGGTCACCGTAAATGCAACACCCTGAAGGAAGCATGCAAATAACATGAAATTTACAACATGCATTAGCGGAGGTGAGATGTGCAAATGATTAGAATTTCAGAGCAGACGCACATCACGCGCGCCTGTGGTGCCACTTCAAAGCACTATTTAAGGCATGGAGTTTTCGACAATTTCAAGTTCGGCAATTTTTTTTTTTTTTTTGTTGTTGTTGTTCTTTAAAAAAAAAAGAACGACCAATTATGACCTCATAGTAAACAGCGATCATCGTTTGATCAAGTATCCGAGAAAAGGAGGATAGTGGCTTACCGAGAGTGTGGATTGTCTTTCAGGGAAATCAGTAGTCGTGTTGGATGAAACCGAACAACTGTAGTGTGGATATGGTTACCGTTGGATGCAGGAGGGCACGACGGACCGACGTGTTCGATCGCATCCACCTCAGTGCACCACTTCACCTGATGACAGGAACATTGTGCGCATGGCAGTGACGGATCGCTCAGTCACATCACGAACCATAGCACAACACATTCAGTCTGTGACACATCATCCAGTGTCTGCGCGTACCATTTGACGCCGACTACAGCAAAGTAGTCTGTGCGCAAGACATCCATTGCTTCGTCTACCCTTGACGCAGAACCATAGACGTCTCCGCTGCCAATGATGCGATGAAAGAAGGATGTGGACGGAAGAATGGAATGAAATTGTCTTTACTGACGAGTCACGCTTCTGTTTGCAACACCACGGTGGTCGGATTCGAGTCTGGAGACACCGTGGAGAGAGGATGCTGAACAGCTGCGTTATGCACAGCCACACTGGTCCTACACCGGGTATTATGGTATGGAGCGGTATTGGATATCACTCTCGCATTCCTCTAGTACGCTTTGCCGGTACTTTAAACAGCCAGCGCTACACCTCTGAGGTGTCCACTTGTCCTTCCTTACCTTCAGAGCTTTTCCACAGCCATATTTCAACAGGATAATGCGCGACCACACGTGGCACGCATTGTCCAATGGTTCTTCGTCAATCCAGATTGAATTGCTTCCCTGGCTGGCTCGCTGTCCTTATCTTTTGTCGATAGAACACATGTGGTCCATGGTTGCTGACCGATTGACCCAGATTGCATCCCAAGCTGCCACACCAGATCAACTTTGGCAACGTGTGGAAGCTGCTTGGTCTGCTGTACCTCAAGAACACATCCAAAGTCTCTTTGAATGAATGCCGAGGCGTGTGGCAGCGGTGATCTCCAATAATGGCGGCTACTCTGGCTACTGATTATGGAAGGACCCATACTTCGCAGAAGTCTAAAAATTTAATCATTTGATACTTGATCAACATGTTATCTACTAAATAAATTTTGTTGTGATATCTCTTGTCTTTCTTGGTGTTGCAATTTGATTGGCCAGCAGTGTAACTAATTATGACATTTAAACGATGTCGTTTAAGTAAAAATATGTAAGCGATCATAAATAACTAATTATGACATTTCTTTAGAATAGAAACAAAACCTAAAAAAATTACGTTCTATACGTACGTTGGTCGTTTGCAAACCATTTGCTCCTTTGTTTGTTAGTCTACATTACGAATAGTTTCATGATCTGTCGCACGTATTTTTTTAAAAATTAATTTTGACTTACACGATTTGGTCTAATTTTTCTGACGTTATAGGTTTATTGTTTCCGACGCAAGACGGATCTTATAATAATAAACAAATCATAGGAAACTTACATAAATTAAATGTTTGCAAATTTAATTAAAATCTCTGTTTAACTTATATAAGTTACGGTCATAGATTTACTACAAAAACCAAATCAAAAGTCTCCAACTGCATGGAAGTTTTCCTTCTATAATGACGTGGATTAGTCACACAGTTAACCTTCTGTCCTTTGTGCAAATTTTACGATTCATTTTGCTTCCTACTTATGGTTTTAATTATTAAATTTTCTGAAATTCTGATATGGCTCTGAACCAAAAATCTGTTATCCCTATTGTATATTTTAATGATTTACATGGATGTTTTGTTTCTGCCCAGTAGTTATTTGCGAATTTATTTACTTCACTACTTACTGCTTAAATCATTTTCATATCCAAAACTTTCTTCAAATTCTGATATTCTGTTGAGTTTTATTTTATTTTATTTATTTTTTTTTTAATTTTTAGAATTGGAAATACTCTAAGAATTTATCGTACTTCCAAAAGGTTTTTTTCAGTTTTAATTTTAGGACTAGATACCAATATAAACTTGCAAATCTAACCCTTTATTCAGTCACAAAAGCAATTTGTTTTTGGAATTTTATTATTAATTATAAAGCCGCGCAGTATGCTGTGAAATTAATTAAATAATAAAGAGATAATAATTAAATCAATAATGATGCCAAGCTTGTCAATGTGAAGAATATAAACTAAAACAAAAAACAAAACTACATAATAAAATAACATCATATTATAATAATACAATAAAGCAAATTTTTAAAAATCCTTTGACCGTTTTGAAGGAGAAGTTGAATATACGCCATGTATATATATGTATGTGTGTGTGTGTTTAAGAACCAATTTTGAAAACGATCTTGTTTAAATCATCAGCATTCAGCAGGTTATGTTCGTTTATATTTAAAATTTAAAATTCTTAAGAAAACTCAACATGAAATTTTAACTTCATCAAGAATATATGAGCTTTTTATGTTCTCTAAAATTTAAAGAAAAGTTAGTGAAATCTGTTAATCTCATTTATCCGTTAAGTGGACATTATGCATAGAGACTATGGCATGCGTAAAATTTAAGAAAATACGTAGAGATTCTTAAATTATTACGATGGTAGCAACATTTCTTAACATTCAAATGCATTTTCTTAAAACTGGTAGTTTTGTTGAATATAGGCTTTATTAAAAAAAATTATATCTTTTCTTTTCAGTATTTTTATGAATAAACCTTTTGTCAATATTTATTCATATTACATTATGCCCACCTAATTTTGGAAAACAATAAAACGGAAAATAAAATATATATTTTTTGCCAAATTTTTATCGTTTTCTTTAAAATTAATAAGCGTGATTCACACTGACTTCTAAACTGATATTAAAATCATGTAAACGTATAGAGAAGTTAAAATTCTTGCCTTTTTCGTGGCAGAGGTGTATAATGTTGTTCATGTTTAAGATTCGCGAATGCTTTTGCAAAAACCAGTAGTATAATAGTAATGATATGCAAAGGTATGAAACCAGATCTGTAAGAAATACTTCACATTTAGAGTTATATAGTTACTAATTAGAAGTCTCGTCAACGGAAATAATTAATGAAATAACAGCCAAAATTCTGATCAACAGTACTTCTCTCTTAAAATGATCTCTTAAAATGGTTTTAAGTTTCTTGAAAAAAAAAAAAAAAAACCTTCAAGCACATTACGAACAGCAATTAAAAGGGAATAAATTTAGATAACCATAATGCGAAGACACGTAAAGTAACTAGAAGTACCCATGCCTTAGTAACAAAAAAATCAAAAGTTCTAGATTCAAAAACTTACAATTATGAGGAAATAAAGTATAATAATCGATTTAAATTGCAATTATGAGAAACTGAAACACTGACCCAAATCGCAGATATCAGCAGAAAGTAAAACACAAAGAGAAAAGGAACCTAAAAGATAAAGCGGTGAAAGAACTTTATGTCACTAATAAGTGAACGTTAAGGGTTATATTCGCTAACAGTAAACAAATGAAAATAAAACAATGCATAACAATTATTGCAATAAATAAAATCATTTGAAAATATATATCCTTAAAAATATCCTCATCCTAAAATTAAAGCATCATATTAACTTAATTATTTTAAAAGCAAATAAAATCAAAATGCTAGTAATAACTTCATAGATGTATCACTAAAATAATACATTATAACAACTGATAATATTTAGTGATTTATTTAAAAAAACACTGTTTTTAAAAATATTTTTTTCTTTCAAATTGAATTGCAGCTTCATATTTCTTTTTCAGAGACGCTGTTTATATTTCACTCATGTACACGCAAAAAAGAAAAGAAATTGTAAGGGAAAAAACCAATGAAAAACTATTTAAAAAGTTATATTGGTACCTACTCTTGGAAAAGCACTTCTTGAAGTATAACATTGCTGACTTTCACCAGTAATACTAAAGCCAAAGATAAAAACATTTTACTAGATAGTTGAAAAAATTCAGCGGAAACTTTAAACTTGTAATTCAGAGATTGTTCAGTAACTGCGGTGTGACATGTGATCGCCTTTCATTGTATACTTCTGCTTTCCAAGCGATAACCGCAGTTTCCTCTTTTTCAGGATTTCCCATCGCCTAAACAAATGCGAGATACATTGCATAATTCTTAATGCTTACGTAAATAATTGTATCAATTCACAGACACGATCTGCATTAAAGGTGTATTTCCTTTTTTTTTTTTTTTTTTGGTGCTCTCGAGTGACGTCAGAGCTTTACCTCGTTCATGGAAATCTCCCATGAATAAATAGTTGTACAAATTATAATGCGCAAGTAATCCAGAAAATAAATGAATCACAAGTAGACATTTAGAGATCATTTGGGGGTTATCCTTTACATGCATGAAGCACCTTCTGAAATTTAAGAAATTCAAGGAAATAAAATGTAATTCATATCTAAAATATGCTCATTTGTACAAACTAAGCTCGCATGTAATGAATATAAAAAACTTAAGTTCACATCCATCTGAATGAGCTGTATCATGTTAAGATGGAACCATTTTAATGAGAAATTTGTTAGCATAATTCGCAGATATTTTAGGCATACATGAACTTATCGAAGAAATACAAGATCACACGTCAGTAAAACAATGTGCAGCTCATTATTGAAATTTTGAATCGAGCTAAAGAATGATGAAAATGCTAAGATAATGTTATGAACTCATTTTTCTTCGCATTCGCTATTATTATTTTTTGTACGACTTGCCCGAAACTCCCCGTGCTCTGCGTGTTAAATAACCACTTACTTCGTTGCACTAATTCCAGCAACAGTTATCGAAAAACTGGTCTCCGCTGACATCTAGACACGCTTGCACAGACTTCTGTACGTCCAAAGGAGATGATGCAGTTGCCAAGTTATTGCATTCAGCGCATAGTGGCTTGGAGAGGAACAGAAACAGACTATACTTATTTCTGTAATAACCTCAGTTCACTGTTTGCATCTTGTTTTAAATATGTTTTTTACGTTTGTTAATGCATTTTTGCTGGTAGGATATCGTTATTATAAATAGTTCTATTTGCTGAGAACCTACTGCAAGCAGCATTAAATGAAGATCAAATCATGACTATCTTCATAATAAACTTGCTTCTTCATAACAAACTTTGCTAGTTAGCTGTTATCAGAAAATGCTCCATACTGCCTTTACAACTACTTATTAGTAGCAAACATTGACGAGGAATATTATTAAAGCGGTTCTCACATCGAATATAAGTGTTCATTTCCAACGCATTTTTGTTCCGGAAGAACAATCTAGGCCGGATACTTAATGTGTCACATGTCATTGACTTATTTAGTCTATTTTCCTTAGTAATTATTGAAAGCTGGTTCATACTTGTTTAACAAATCTTCATCTCTTTTATTCATATAACTGATGAGCTTTTTTTTACGATTCAATACAAAGACTGAGAGCAAAATATAAGCAATGTAAATGAAATAGTTTTACAATGAGAAAAATCATTGCAAAGTGCAGTCTGAACATTGTTCATAATTCAACTGAAGGCCACAAATAAATTTACTCAAGGAAAGAAATATATATTTAAAGTAGTTTGAAAGCTGATTTTTCTTTAAGCGTGAATTTTTAGTTATCGTTTTAGAATAAGAATTAATTCAACTTTCAGTATTTCTATAGAAATTTCGTATAATCATTTCCGAAAATTGTATATTTTCATTTATTTTATTCAATGAAAGCAGAAAATTAGTGGCAATGGATTGCCGTTATATTTGAGTCTTGTTTAAGCCTTAAAGCACAGGTTTTCCACTCAGACTTGATCCGAGCAAGCATAAAAACTACATGCAAGTATTTTAAAATGTAATAATACCATATCAAACATAATACCTGAACTAGATAGCAACAAATATGTAAGGAAAAACATTGAAAAGGAGGAAACGAATCCAAAACTTTCGCGTTTATAAAATAAATTAATTTGATCTTTCAAAATCTAGCAATATTTTGTAACAATAAGAAGTCAAATTTTTCGTCTCTGTAAAGATGCGTGAGGCCTTCAGTAGGCGCCCCATCAAGCCTAGAAAATAGGCTAATGGCCTCATAGTTTCTATACTGGCAACGAAATGAGGTGGCTTCGTGGACGTTTTTCATGATTAAGAAATTTCTTTTTAGACAGATAACAATTGGGTGTTTTTTCCCAATCATTTGCCAAAGCAACTAAGTAACCAAACGTAGAGAGCGAAACTAATTATTTAAAGGGTTCCCAAATTGAGGAATCTTTAGAAAATTACAAATTGCAGTCTCAATATTTGTGATAAAAATCACTCAAGTAAGTAATAGAAATTAAGCATTTATTAAGCAAAATTACACTTATACTTTCTATCAGGAATTCAATCATCTTTTGAGAGTTAAAATGCAAGCTTTATGAACTGAATTTCATGAAATGTTTCATACATTGGAAAAGTGCCCCTGAAAACAAAAAAAAAAAACAAAAAACAAAAAAAAAAAAAAAAAAAAAAAAATCCCTGCTTTTACCGAACTGAAAGCGAAGCAAGAATTTTCACAGACTAAGAACTGGTAATTTTTCTGTTAAAACATAAGCGAAACCCCTTTGTGACAAAGCTTTCAGTCTCATTTTAAGGAGAAAGTTATAAGGCAGTACTATAAAAATTGGTTAAATGGCTCATTTTATCCCTTCTTTCACTGCGTTGACATACGTACATGCGAAGCTCTGTAATTAAGTATTTAAAGGAACATTTGCCCCCCCTACCCCATTCGCGATAGTGGTTAGAGACTCTGACTGCCGTACCGAAGGGCCCAGTCTCGACTCCCGAAGACATTGATGTTTGTAAATGCATAGTGTTTGTGCGGCATGGGCATGGAATAAATATGCACTGAGCAAAAGTCCTCTCGGGAAACTGAAAGTAGGGGAAGAGGAGTGGGATACTTTCGGACCCGTTCCCCCGGGTTGCTCTTCTTCAAAACTGAGAGCGGAATTGAGCAAAGTCGTACTATCACCTGTATGGTTGGTTCCCAAGGCTCTTGCCAACGACAGGCGCAACCTTGCCTCCTAGCCACGATGAATTTCGTAAGCTTGCTCTAATATCCGACAAGCGAGATCAGTGTCATAATAACAAGAAAAAGCGAGTTTGTTAACGCATTCTGCTAATCCCATCTTAAACGACTCAGTATCTTGTACCGTATAAAAAAACTCATGCACTGAACTCGATATTCAGGATATTCAGCTAGCATGAATAAGTGATGTGATAACTATTTCCCAGTTTAACGCTAATGAATTGTCAGTTAACTTGATTTTCTTGTACGTTGCGTGAAACCTGCTGCAATTTGTAATTGAGAATATACTAATAATTAAGTAACTTAAGGCACAGTAAGATTTTAGTGTGCAGTAAAAAGTAAATTCTTAAAAATGAATGAAACCTTGAAAAAAAAAATTCCCTTTCCTACCACTTCTTTCTCTCGTAACATTATGTCATTTAAACATCCGCGAGAAATTCTATTTATTACCTTTTCGGCCACTGTACCGTTTATTTCACTTCAGCGAGTTCGTTGTCAAATTACCGTGACTAAAACTCTAACATTCTGAGTATTGCCAGACGGAAATTTTTTGTCCTTTCTGTCAGGCGGTTTCATTTCATGGCCAAACAGACATCAGGTTGTTTACTTTTCAATTAAATAACTCTAAAATTTTAAGAGTTCAAGCTTTTCTCTTTGTTTCCGAGTACATCCTACGGATAATGTCTCTGAACCGGAACTTCAGAGACTGGAATTTGTTACAACAACGCACAGTTTCTAATAATTGAGTGAATTTCGTCTATCCATGAAATAGTCATTAAATCCAGATATCATACACAATCGAATTAATTTATAATAAGGTCCCGTCAGTGGCCGAATGGCTACTGACTAATAAATACTGATAGAGTATCTCGAATTCGAACCCAGGCGAACGGTATGGCTGTATGATTGGGTTTCTTGGATTTTCCCCTGTGTAACGTTAATAAGAGCTAGTTTACCTCAATAAGTCCCTTAGTCATTAAATCCAGGTATCATACACAGTCGAATCTGTGTATGATATCTGGTCCGAGAGTATTCCACCCCTCTTCCCTCGCGTGCTTTGCCATATTCAAATAAAATACCCTACTCGATTTAAAACATACTTTATGAAATGCATTAAAGGTCTTTTTTGAAAAGTATTTCTCTTACTAGAAAATTTTTTATTTTTCTGAAGTGTTCAGTTTCGTTACATCTGTTAATTAGAAACTTTTAACCTTAAAAGTTAAAATTTCTTAATTTTATTTTTATATCAGAGTCATATTCTTTTATTTTAATAAATGAAGATGGCACGACTTATAAATTTTTTATTATGAATTATTCTCATGAATTTTAAGATAAATATATACATATATTTAACCTCATCAGCTAGAAAATGTTACTTATTGATCAGTATTGATAAATACTAAACTGTAATTTCAAGTGTTAATTTGTCGTATATCGGAGGGACACTGTTAAAACTAATTTCAGCTAAAATAATGTATGTATGTATGTGTATGTGTGTGCAAGATAAAATATGTGTATCTCAAAATTATAATTTAAACTAGACGTAACCCTTTATTCTCCTTTTCGATTCTAAAAATAATAATAACGTTTCTGGACTGAGTCATTTCTAGATCAATCTATGCCACATGGCTTGCATAACGCTGATGACGTAGCTAATTAGGAACCCGAACTCAAAATTTCGACATCTGAAACCTTTCTCCTTATAAGCAACCTAAACCTCCTGCTGGTGAGCCTCCATACTGGATTGTTGCGAACTTTAACATCTACCTTTCTTCCTATGAAGACGCTGTTTCGCTCTGCTCTCTTCCTACTGAAAGAAAATACTACAGTATCAAAAATGTAATATTTGTATATTAATGTAAAAATTTTTTGATACTACAATGTCAAAAGTGTAAATGTCCTTGAATAGGCACGATTGGAGTGCCAAGTGAATTATGGCCACAAATGTCAATTGAAATAAAAATGAAAGTTAATCCATCTCGGCTGCCAAGTTTCCTAGGCATTACGGATTCAACATTTTAGCATTCTACGCAAACAGATTTCTGCCTCTTCTGTCTGGATCTACGTTCTACGCGCAGCATTGTGAAGTTCTTTTTCATTACAATGAGTCTGATAGGATGTCTTAAGTGCGCGTGGAAAATCCATCTATGGAATTATAAAGCGCGTTAAACAAATAAATACTATTTATGCTACAAACCTCAGTGGAAAATATCTACAAAACTCACATAAATATACCTGCTTATCTGCAACTTCGAAAGTGGTAACGTCCAATGAAATGAAGTGCAGCATTACTACTTCAGTATCCAGGAAAAATGTGTGTTTTTAAATCATCGCTAGATTCAGCAGTGGTTAAACAGTGGGTTAAAGTTCGTCGATCTGGTTTTGATGTGCATCAAGTACGTGCAAAGAAAATTACTATTTGTATCTCCGCTTTTATTAATAGCATTATGTCTTTCGAAAACTCAAATTATTATCTTCGTGTGAACTTACTCAGATTCATTTTCCAATGCGACAAAATTATTAAATGTGCTGCGAACTTCATATATTATATCTAAATTTTGTTTAAAGTTTCTGCAATTTGATTGTGCTGTTTTTCAAAATTATGAAATTATTGTTCAAGAGAAGAAAACATCATAATAATTCAATATTTTTAAATGGTTTTAAATGCATGAATTTTGCGAATATTTTTAATGTTATTTCGTAATGTATTTTAAATGCTTTTTAATGTTGTTATAATAATTTACACTAAATATTTTTTTGTTCATGAAATAGATAATTTGATTATTCCTTAATGTAACTAAAAATGTTTTTATGGAATGGTAAACTAATACTAATATTTATTATTATTTCGAGATTTGAATACCTACCTTCTTCTATTGGATTAATTGCACAGCATTATTGAAAGGTTAAAAATTATATGGTATTAGAAACTTGATTTTACAAATTTGGTTTAACGAATTAAAGAGTTTTAAGATTTTTATTTAGGGAAGGTTATTAACTTCATTGATCTATTTTTTATCATTGTTTAAA